TTTCGTCATGTCCCCGCTGCCCTAATAGAAGGAGTGGTTGTTCTCATGAACGCTTTCCTGCATTAGTAGATGCTCGTTGGGATTACCTGTGTCTACTGATATCCCCATTTTATAGATGAGAAAACAAGACACGCAGAGGCCACATAGCTCGGAGAGCATCTGGACTGGCACAGTGCAGAAGAAACTCAAGACGTTAGAACAGCTGAGGGTTTGGAGAGTGAGCCCTCCCCCCCACCCTCCCACAAACCCAGAAAGGGACTGGTTGGGGCTAGGGAAGGGGTCAGGACCCCACTAAAGGCGCAAGGTTCCTGGGTAAGGCAGCAATTCTAGGGGGAAAGAGCACTGGGAAGTGAGCGGGGGGGAGGCTGTCCTCCCAGATAACAGACTCTACTGTGACTTATAATGGGTAAAAGAGTGTGGCATTGACACAAGAACAGAGGCAGACCAGTAGAACAGAGTGACATCAGGAAACACTCACGTACAGGTGGGGCTTGGAATGTAAGTGTCATTTAAAATCAGCGGGGAAGGGGCGCCTGGGTGGCTCAGTTGGATTTCGGCTCAGGTCATTATCGTCTGGTTCATGAGATTGTCCCCCACATCGGGTTCTGTGCTGACAGTGTGGGGCCTGCTTGGGATTCTCTCTCTCTGTCTCTCTCTGCCCCTTCCCTGCTCGTGCTGTCTCTTTCTCTCAAGATAAATAAATAAAATAAAAATAAAATCAGGGGCACCTGGGCGGCTCAGTTGGTTAAGCATCCGACTTTGGCTCAGGTCGTGATCTCACAGTTCGTGGGTTCGAGCCCTGCGTCGAGCTCTGGGCTGACGGTTCAGAGCCTGGAGCCTGCCTCCGATTCTGTGTCTCCCTCTCTACCCCTCCCCCACTCATGCTCTGTCTCTCTCTGCCTCTCAAAAATAAAGAAACGTAATAATAAAAAACATTAAAATAAATAAAATAAAAATGAAATCAGTGGAGGAAAGGACAGGTCATTCTATAAGGATTCAAGACAATCAGCTACTCATTAAAAACACTTAACTTAAATCCTTAACTCACACCATTCACCAAGATAAATTCTAGGTGAATTAATATAAAAATATAGGACAATGCATTTACAGGTGTTCCTTTTCCAAAAAGGTAGACACAGCATGTGAAAACTGCAAAGGAAAAGCCTGGTAAATTTGACGATATCAGATATCAAAGTGTTTGACAAAAGCAGCTTTATTCATAATTGCCAAAACTTGGAAGCAACTGAGATGTCCTTCCACAGGTTACTGGACCACAGGTAAATGGCCTGTGATGGGTCCAGACGATGGAACATTATTCAGCACTAAAAAGCCATGAAGAGACAGAGAGGGACCTTAAATGCATATTGCTAAGTGAGAGAAGCCAGCCTGAGAACTCAGGCTATGTACTATGTGATTCCAACTATATGACATTCTGGAAAAGGCAAGCCTGTGGAGACTATAAACAGATCAGTGTTTGCCAGGGGTTCAGGGAGGCAGAGAGGGAGGGAGGGATAAAAAGGTGGACCACAGGGGATTCTTAAGGCTATGAATGATTCGGCACAGTAATGGTGGTTACCTGTCACTATACATTTATCAAAGCCCATAGAATGTGCAACACGAAGAGTGAACCCTAATGTAAACTCAGGATTTAGTTAATAATAATGGATCAGTATTGGCTCATCAATTGTAACAAATGTACCACACGAATGCAACATGTTAATTATACGGGAGATTGTGGCGGTGGTGACTGGGGACACATGGGAACTCTCCATAATTTCCCCTCACTTTTTCTGTGACCCTAAACCTGCTCTAAAAAGTAAAGTCTATTAATTAAAAAAAACAAAAAGGTGTTTGGTACATGGGAAAAGACAAGAGCAGTAAACTCTTGGGTAGTCTACGTGACAGACAGGATTAGTATCTAGAATACATAAAGAATTCCTACCAACTGATAAGAGAAAATACTTTTTTTTTTAAAGAAAAAATTGACAAAGGATACAGACAGGCGCTATACAGACAGAGATAGGCATGGTCAATAAACATGTGAAACACGCCCAAGCTCACTAGTATGAGGGAAATATAAAATTGACAACAATGTTGAGGTGGCATTCTGCATCCCGCGATGGGCACAGGTTTTCATGTTTTGGAATCTCCAGTGTTGGTGAAGGTTTAGGTAAGTACCCCCAGACAGCTGGCAGAAACACATGATGGGGCTACCATGCAGGAGAGCAATTTTCTGACATTGACTCAAATTTAAAACGCATATACTTTATGACCCAGCAATTCTTATTATTCCATCCGGAGCAGTACTTGCTTGTATCCCCAAAAAGACTTGTAGAAAGGTGTTCATCGCAGCATTTCTTGTAGAGCCGAAAACGGGACAAGACCTAGTACCATCCATTGATTGGGTAGATAAAACATGCTACTTCGTTATTAAGGAATCGTATGCATTGGTTCTGAAGAATAAGCTATATCAGTTACGTACGTCTTGGCAAGTTCACCCAGAATTGTGTCAAGTGACGAAAAAGAAGATATCCATATGGCTCACCGTTCGCCTCCTTTCAACAGACTGGGCCAAGGCAGAGAGGACCAGAGAGGGTGCTGTCGAATGGGTGGGATAGCCCAGGTCAGTTCTGCGCCACCTGCCAGGGCACAACTAAGGATGTGGTCTAGGATGTAGTCGGGCCTGGCAGAGACAGCCTGGGGGAGGAGGGACTTTTAGGAGGCTCCCGAGGAGGCCTCAGCACCTGTCGTGGTGCCTGGATTTCCTCCCTGGGATTTCCTGACTCAAGGGCTCCCCACCAGCTCTAATCTGCAGTCAGAGAATAGCGAGAAGTGTCCATGAGGGGCTGACCCAAGCTCAGAGACGCAGACAACCACAGAGTCCTTGGTCTCCTTTGGGCCTGGGGTCCAGTGACTGGCGTCAGGCACGAGGTGTGCTGGAGCCTATGGGTGCCCACTGGGCACACCTCTCCTCTGCTCTGCCTTCCGTGACCTCCCATTGGTCACTTGACATTGGCCGTAGTGGCACCGTGGAACCTGATAGACGCTACAAATCAGGGCTTTTCTTTTGCCTCTGGAGAACCAGTTGCTAACCATTTATCTCCACCCTGTGGGAACACAGGATGGCTTCCTCCCTCCATTCCCCACCCTGGGTCCCAGGACACAGAACCCCACTCCCTCTTTACTTCTGCCTTTGCTGAACCTCCATCTCTCCACTCCTTATCTCCATCTTTTCTCTTGCCTCCTCTTCAAGAAGAGGGGAGAGGGTGGAGAGCCTTGGAGTTGAGGGCATTTGGATATGGGCACCAGTCACAACTATGCCATTGACTCCCTCTGTGACCTTGGACAGACTTTCCCACTCCGGGCTTCTATTTTCTCCCCCGTGGAATGGAACAATTGTATTCAGGGCTACCACATACAGCCTTGTAGGCATGGTTCTGCTTCAACTCTGCTTCAACATAGACTGTATTGTGAATGGGGCCCTATGGAGATGCGCAGTGGGCAACCTGAACAACGGTACATAGTCCTGATCAAGGTACTTCATGATACTTCAGAGGGTTGTTGTGAAAATTAAGAAGTAATCATACAGAGTGCTTGGCACATAGCAGGTGCACAAACATGATTGTTTTCCTTTCTTCTTGTTATCTACCCCTCCCTTTCTCATCAATAGTGTATCACTCTATCTTAAGGTTAGCTTCCTGAGGGCTCCAGATGCCACAGTCCACACAGAGAAATGTCCCCAGGTTTATAATAATCCCGGTGACTATAATGATTGCATGCCACTGAGCACAGACTTGAGGCTGCCTTGCCTCACTTCACTTACTCTTTGCCTTATGTGTCACAATCCTCATCTTCGGATTCAAGGACTTGAAGCTCAGAGGGTGAGGCTTTGCCCAGTGCTACGTGATGAAAACGTGGTGGAAGAGGATTCCCACTCAGATCCCTTGGAATCCAAGTTCTCCCAGCCAGTGGGCTCAAAGATTTTTGACCATGAGCCACAGAAAAACATTTCATGTTTCAGTCACTGCGCCCATGTACACATGCATAGAACTGAAAAGTTCTCCAAAACAATATTCATTCCTGCTACATTTGATGTATCAGATATTTCTATTCCATTCCATTCCATTCCATTCCATTCCATTCCATTCCATTCTGTTCCATTCTTCTTCTTCTTTTTTTTTTTAATGTGGCAATCAACAGTGGCAATCATTGAAGGTGACTTCATGACCCACTAGTCTAGCGAATCAACACCTGCAGTTTGAAAAATACCCTCTAGGCTGCTTCTCCCAAATGACCTCCTAACGCAGGAATCAGCAAACTATAGCCCACGGGTTAAAATCTGGCTCGGTGCCTGTTTTTGTAAAGTTTTATTGGTACACAGCCATGCTCCTCCATTGATACGTTTATTGTCTCTGACTCTTTTGTGCTACGACAGTAGAGAAGTAGTTACAACAGGGACTGCGTGGACCACAGAGCCTGAAATATCTACTTACCTGGTACTTAACGGAAAAAGTTTGGGGCTCCCGGGTGGCTCAGTCGGTTAAGCATCTGACTCTTAGTTTTGGCTCAGGTCATGATCTCACGGTTTCGTGAGTTCAAGCCCCGAGTCAGGCTCCCAGATGACAGCTCAGACCCTGCTTGGGATTCTCTCTCTCCCTCTCTCTCTCTCTCTCTCTCTGCCCGCCCCCCCACTCATGATGTCTCTGTCTCTCACAATAAATAAGTAAACTTAAAATAAAGACAAAGAAAAAGTCTGCCCGTCTGTGCAGATTTGACTCTGTGTCTCCCTTGTTTAATTTCTCCACGCCTTCCCTGTGCCTTCTTGCTCAGACCCAAGCTCCTTGGCTGGCTTAGAAAACACCACCCTCTGGCTTCCCTGCTCTGGTCCTACCAACGGCCCTTCCCCTTCCATGCTGTCCCCCAGCACTGACAGGCCCACAGGACAAAGGTGGACAGAGCTCCACCTAGCTTCCTGACCTCTTGTTCTGCTCCCCCCACAGGCCTCCTGGGAATGGTCGCCCACATGATGTACACACAGGTGTTCCAGGTCACCGTGAGCCTCGGCCCTGAAGACTGGAGACCCCACTCCTGGGACTACGGATGGTCCTTCTGGTAAGTGGCCTTTGACCTTCAGACACCAGAGCCTCCACGCATGCTGGGCCTTCGGCAGCTCGGCCCAGGTGAGGGAGGAAGGGCAGAAGAAGGCAAGGGTAGCCCAGAGTGCACGGGGACTTTGAGACTCTATGGCCCATCCACTACCTGTTTTTATGCAGCCCTCAACTTAAGGATGGTTTTTACATATTCAGATGCTTGAAATCAATCAAAAGGAGAATAACACCTTGTGATGTGTGGAAATCATGTGCAATTTAAATTTCAGTGTCCATAAATAAAGTTTTATTGGGACAGAGCCACTCTCGTTATTCACGCGTTGTCTTGTGGCCGCCTTCACGCTACAATGGCAGAGCTGGGCGGTTGCAGGCGACAGTCAGTGGCCCACAAAGCCTAAAATGTTCACCGCCCGGCCCTTTACAGAGTAAAGCTTCTGACCCCTGCCACACAGGCCGTTCTGGAAGGTGGAGGTGGAAGCTGACGAGTTGGGGGCGGCGGGGGTGGGAGGGCCTGGGAGGTCGGATAAGTTTTGTATGCAAGAGCAAGACAGAATCAGTAGACTCCCGAGCCAAGTAAACAAGGGGTGTGTGTTAGTTCGGGTGACCCAGAAGTCCAGTTGGGTCAGCGGGGGGGCCTCGGGTCACGATGGAAAAATCCGTCGTGACCCTCTGCGAATTTAACCCTGTCCCTGGGTGGGCTTTCCTCCTGGTGGTGAGAAACCTCCCTCCTGGTGCTTCTTCCTTCACATACGGGGGAAGGGAGGGTTCCTCTTTCCCCAACGTTGACCGAAGTCCCCGGTCTCCCCCTGATGGGCCCATCAGGGGCCATGGGTCATCTTCTCTCTCCCAAATCATCACCACAGCTGAGGGAGGGCCAGGAGCATATTGGTTCTGCTTGCCCACGCTTACCTCTCGGGCGAGGAATGAGCCCAGAACTCTCCGGTGGTGAATGACCGGGATGGGTGCTGGGTGAGCATCTGCCCCAGGCACAGCTGGGTCCAGGTGCTCAGGTGATTTATCAGGAGCTCTCCCCACCCCCTTGCCTGTCTCTGTTCCCTTTGTCCTTTGTCTTGTCTTCATTCACAGGCAGCCTTCCCTAAGCAAAGATGGTCACCATGCCCAGCTCTAGGCTTCCATTTTACAAACGTAGCAATACCAGCAGAGAGATGGGGCTTCTTTCCCATATTTCCCGCCAAAATCCTGGTTATGGCTGTCATTGGATTAGCTTAAGTCGTGTGCCCATCCCATGACCAATGATTTCCACCCTGATTGGTCTGGCCTGAGTCACAAGGTCCAGGCGGCGGGATTGGCCCCACCCAATCCCTTGGACAGAGACAGGAGGAGGAGCCTCCCCCGTGGAAAATTAGGGGTGAGGCGGGGTTATCACAAGGAGGAAAGACAACGACCTCAGTTGTCCATTACACGAGGTATGCAGGCCTGCTTCTGGTGGCCGGGAACCACTTATCCACTCAGTCACTTTACATGCATTTACCGATTGCTTACTCGGGGACAGAGTAAGCACAGAGCACAGAGGAGGGGTTGCTGACCCAACTTCGGGCAGGGAGGGTCCTCTGGGGAGAATGTGATTGGGCAAAATGTGGAGAAGGGAATAAGACAATGTGCTGGGCAGAGGGGACAGGAGGTACAGAGACTTCGGAGGATCGTCAGAATGGAGTAGGAGTAGGGCTTCAAGTAAGAAGGACCCCCTTCCAGACCACTGGGGACTCTTGCTAATTTCACCCCTTCCCACCCTCTGTTTGGTTTCTGCTTTGCAAAGGCACGTGTCTTACAGGGACCTTGACCCTCAGGCTCGCAGGGAAACCAGCTAAGGCTCTGGTGCCCCCTGTTGCCCTACACGTCCCTCCTTCTAGCAGCTGTCGCCTGAGCTCTTGACCTTGGACGGTGGTCACCTGAGCTAGAGAAGGGGGCAAAGGAAAGGAATGAACATTCTCGGGTGTGAGCACGTGTGTGACCGCCTGTGCCACGTATCGAGGCCTGGTATGTCACCATCGCCACGGCGCGGTGCGGTGGAAATTTTGTGGAGGGGAAACTGAGGCACAGGCAAACCTAAGTAACCCGTCCAAGCTCTCTCTGGCCACTGAGCGGCAGGGCTGGGATCTGAACCTGGGCAGTGTGGCCTCAGAGCCCACACTCCTAACCTCTGTATTCTGCCTCTGCGAGAACGGGGTGATACGTAGACACTTCGTGGATGTGTGTGGCACGCTGTTTGACACACGGGAAGTGCTCTCAAACACCAGCCCTTCTAAAAATTTTTTTTTAACATTTATTTATTTTTGAGACAGAGAGAGACAGAGCATGAACAGGGAAGGGGCAGAGAGAGAGGGAGACACAGAATCTGAAACAGGCTCCAGGCTCTGAGCTGTCAGCACAGAGCCCGACGCGGGGCTCGAACTCACGGACCGCGAGATCGTGACCTGAGCCGAAGTCGGACGCTTAACCGACCGAGCCACCCAGGCGCCCCAAACACCAGCCCTTCTAATGTTACCGATTTCCATATGAAATTTAACACAC